GTAAAAACACTCTTTCTCATCACTGCCTCTTTACGTGGGAATATTTGACTCTTTTTTAACCAATAGGTAGTCCCCCTGCCCCCTTTTTGTCCTTTGCTCCTGAGATAGTTTACCTGAATGATGATTTGTTGATGTCCTTTTACTTGTTTTGCCCTTGGGCCCTGCCTTCTGATAACCCACTTGTTCTCACCACCATCCTTGTTACCGTCATTCTGATTTTCTAGCCTAGAGTCCATTTATCTGTATGGATAAACAGGGAGGTTACACTTGGTTACTCAGGAATTTCTCTCTTTCTCAGCTGGCTCAGGTCCAGAGTTGACAGCCAGCATCTTTGTTCCAAGAAAGACCTGCTCCAGTGCAGACCATCTGTCTTGAACCCTTTCTTCTGTTGGGTTAATTGTAATGTCTCCAGTTTTCTTTCTTATGTGGCTATTTGCATTTTTTCTGTTTCTTTGTTAGCCCGGCTGATGGTTTATCAGGTCTGTTTGTCTTTTCAAGGAATCAACTTCTGATTTTGTTCATTCCATCTATTATTTTTCTGTTCTCTATTGAATATGTATCTGATCATTAGGAATTCTTTTATTCTAATAGCTTAGGGGTTAGTTTGATCTTAGGTTGTAAAGTTAGACTATTTATTTAATACCTTTTAATTAAAAAAAAGTATAGTCTTTACTGCTATAAATTTCCCTTTGAGGACTGTCTTGGCTGCATCCTGTAAGTGTTGGTATGTTGTTTTCATTTGTCTCTAGGTATCTTTAAACGTTTCTCTTTGACTCATTGGTTGTTTAGTGGGGCATTGCTTAATTGGCACTGTCTGACTGAGTCCGGGGCAGTTTACCAGACGTACCAGAAGCTTCCTGTAGCATGTCGGAATGTGAGGGGGAATTGGCTAGCACATGTCAGAGTGTTGGCCACAGGATCCAGTCTACAGCGTCATAGGGTGGGACAGTTCCTTCAGAGCTCTGGGAGGAGTATCCGTCTCTGTCCTGTAACTTCTCCTGCCATGTCACCACCCCGGTGGATGGGCCTGAATCTGAGTGGGCAGCACAGGGGTCTGTGCAGCAGAGAAAGTGTATCCTGTACACATGTACGCATTGTTGGCATGGATTAAGAGGAATGAACAGTCCTGTGATTGAGATGTTTTGGCTTCTCGGTGGTTTTAGTGTGAATGCTGTTTGGGACTCAGCATTGTAACTCGGACAAGATACTCCGTGTCTCTTCCGTGGTCACCCCTTTGTCCAGTGGAGGGAGAACCAGAGCCTTCTCTCTAGAGATCTGATGGTGGTGGTGTCAGAGCAGAGAGCTGGGCTGAGGGAGATTCTGGGAAGACTAGACCTCCCAGATGCGGGGTGCTGCAGTGTGTATGGATGTACACGTTTCGGAAAGAGAACGACACACTTCTTGTCAGATTCTCTGATCCATTTAAAGAGTAAATGCAGCCGTCTGAGCGGCACCAGGACCTCCTGAAGGGCAAGGAGGAGGGGTGCTAAACGAACGGAAAGTGTGTGACAGAGGCAGCAGCTCACGTGTCCGGGCACCTTGTGGGTTTGCGGAGCGTTTTCTGCTCCCTGTTCTTTGGGATGTGGAATGACTCTTCACTTTGGAGGTCTCCGGGACCACCCTCGGGCTCAGTGGGTGGCTAGACCGCCAAACACTTTGTCATAGAGCTGTCCTTGTGGCTAAGACCCACCGGGTCTCTCACCCGCAGATTGTGACCTGCAGGAGCGCTGCTAGGGAAGCTGCTGGACACTCAGCAGGACCCTGGGTTCTGGCGCTGCTTATGGAGACACCTCTGCTGGCCCAGGCCCAGGCCCAGTTCCAGGCGCAGGCCCTCCACATGCCCAGAAGCGGCGCGTCGGCACAGACTGCGTCATGTGCAAACTGGCTGTGCCCAGTGAGGCATCCAGACACCAAGGTCAGATGGCCCGAGCCACATGCTACATAATAAGGAGACCCTCTCCTCTCACCTGCTCCGCGTTACCACCCTCTCCACACTGATGAATGAAGCGCAGAGTGCCCGACCAGGCCCGACCTCAGCTTGCTATAGAGATGAGGTGGACACGGCCTTCTTTGTATTCAGCATGGCATTTCCGTGCACATGCTGGTTGCACTTCAGAGTCTGGTTGTCTCCTCTTAGCGGGGTCCCTCTCCAGGCAGAGCTCTGTGGGCAGTGTGCGGGAGGAGAGCAACAGCTGCTGCCTGTGTGAAGACCTGCTGCTGGCTGGTGGCCCTCCCTGCGTGTGGGAGCTTGGACTTTGGGCAGGTGCCTGGTCATGGCCTTAGGAACCAGGGACAGCTACTCTCTTCACAGCTCTTCGATCGTGTGTGACGTCCCTGTGGAACGTGCACGCTGCTTTGGAAGGAGTTGGCGCCCTGTGTGATGGTCTGGACTGGCCCACCATCTCTGCACATGCGCCTTTGCTTCTTTTGGGTAGTTGGCCCTTTGTGTACATTTGGCGCCTTTCTCAGTCCTCTGGTCACTCTCTTGTGTGGCCAGTGAGGATAAAGTCTTTGGATTATGTTTCCAATTTGTGTTTATTAGATTTTCTTCAAATCCACCAGATGCTCTGCCGGGGAAGGAGGGACAATCTCCTTCTGTACCAGTCAGATCTGATTTGACGGTACACTCACACAAAAATAATAAAAAATAAAAAAAAATATTTTCTTGATATCCATAATGCTACTACAAAATACTTATATCAAAATACCATTAAATAGCAAATGTATAGTGCTTGGTCTATGAGACACAACAGAAACCTTAGAAGGGGTGAGGGAAATGACAGGCTTTAGAAAATGAATTGCTTTTTCCCACAAAAAAGCAGAGTTGTTCACATCCTTAGCAGAACCTCATCAGCTCAGATAACCTCCCTTTAAGAAATTCTTGCTTTAAGGTTTTATTGTTTATCTCCAATTTCTTTCTTTTGTGTGTGTGTGTAACATGCTATCTCATCTTTCTTGTTGTGATTTCAAAAATAGATGACTTTTTTTTGTCCCCTGCTGTCACTTGAAATTAATTACTTTGTATACTTCTAGGTCAGATGACTTGCTCAGCATTTATCCTAACAGGCCTCACACCACGAACGGTAGGAGCCCTCGGGGTGAGGCCTACCTACAGCAGTTACCACTGTCTTTATGACAGGTTCTCTTCAGGAGTTATTGGTACTTTTTTGTTTATGTTGTAGATCTGGTTAAGTACCAAATTACTGCTCACAGCATGGGAGAACCATTTCTTTATAATGTTTGAAATTCAGGACTTGTCTTGATTACCTCGTGCTGCCATATGAGCTCTGGGTGCTGCCAACCAAAGGAACTCGGTTCAAATCCACTATCTGCCCTGAGGGAGAAAGAGGCCAGTCTCCTCCTGTGCTGTTTACAGCCTCGGAAAGGCCACTGGAGGCCCAGCTGGGAGTTGGCTCCAGGTCAACAGCACCTACCAGTAAGAGCAACACTCTAACAGACAGGTGCTTGCTCTCTTGCTGTTAGGCGTCTAGAAGCGTGACTGAGGTGTCAGCTGTCGAGGACGGCGTTTTCTGTGTGTCCTCAGCCTTCTCTCTGCTCTGGGACTTCCTCTGGGTGAGACCAGACACCCGAAGGTGTGCTCCGCTCCCAGCTGTGGTGGCAGGTCCCTCTGAGCTCTGCTTGTGTAATTTCTAAGGATGTTGACTAAGATAGAGTTTAATCCTGGAGATTGTGCCCTGCTTCATCAGCGTCAAGGAGTGAGGATTGCCTCTCAGAACCAGATCACACAGCTCGGGACACAGCAGGAGACAGCATGCTGGCCCAGAAGCACGACAGGTTGCACCGCCTCCAGGGCCTGGTGCAAAGCAGACGTGCTGGGAATGCCTTCACAGGGGTGCCAGGGAGCGTGCTGCGCCTGTGGACAGCCCATCAGGAGCAGCCTTCCAGGGCAGCCTGGCCTGGCATCCTCCGCGTGAGTCCTTCCATCTTTTCTCAAATTCTGGACACTGGATTCTGTCTCTTCTCAGACGGGACCGTAAGTTTTGATTTGGTCACTTCTCAAGACACATTCAGAAGACAATTGTGAGCTCACCCTGAGGCAGGCTGACAGGCAGCACTGAGGGCCTCCCAGCATGGTAGCCAGTAGCTAGTGCTGGTGAGGGGACCCTTGTCATGGCCAGCTTCATGTCTTGTCAGAGGAGGTAGCAGGGCCTTTGGGTTCAGAGTTTGAAAAGCCTGTGCTGGGATTCTTTGATCCATATACCTATCTGCCCACCCTCCCTGCACCCACCACCCCATGCACCCATCTACCCACCCACTCACCCACCCATCCATTTACTCATCGCTCTGAGTTCTGTTTGGAGGGGACCGTAAATCTCATCAAACCCTCCCACCAGTCTATGGACCCACCTATCCATTTACCCATCTCTCTTTGACTTCTGTTTGAGAGGGAACCGTAAATCTCATCAAACCCTCCCTGCACCCATCCAGCCAGCTATCATCTGTTCATGTCCCCAGTGATCCCAGCACCTGTCTCCCATCCCACTTCCCTTCCTTCTTGCCTCCCTCTCTTCAGCCTTCCAAGCACACTTCATCCATCTCTCTGTCCATCCATCCTGTGTCCTGGAAGTCTTCCCTGAGCTCCTCCTGGTGTTCACCTGCTCTCCGAGCCCTCATTCCTCTAGACTGTTCCCTCCAGGCTCCCCAGCAGTTAATACTCTTTCTTTATACGTCTGGCTTCATTTCTCATGATGGTTCACTGTGTGGGTTGGGCAAATCAGGATCCCTGTCTTTCTAGAATCCTCCAGCATGCTCCAGTGCCATTGTGATAGAGTGTGGTTGTCTGTGCATCCGTCGCTTCCATCCCCCCTCCCCCTGGGATCACCTTCCCAGAGCACAGACTGCTTCCCAGGAGCCTCACCCGTGCTCTTATCAGTCGGTGAGGCCGATGATGCTGTATGTGGACCGTCAGCCTGGTGAGGAGCTTTAACTTGCTGTCCTGCATTGGCATGCAGTTGTTAAAATAATCTCCACCTTTTCAGGAGACATTGAAAATGGATACATGAAGCTCCTTGTGATAAATCTGTACAACAATACGCAGCACGTACCTCTTATTGGAAAAGTTGGCCTCTGTTGGAGAACGGACATCTTCACAGGCTGCATCCAGGTACTGGGTTGTTACCGTAAAGGCTTGTCGACACCTTGTGCGGTGCTTGGGGTCAGGCTCTGATTGTCAGGCTGGGCGGGATGGTGTCCTCACACCTAGAACCCTGTGCTGTCTCGCAGAGCTGCTCTGTGATGGACATGACGCTCCTGGACGATTCTGGAAAGCCCTTCTGGTGTTTCAGCTCCCCAGTGTGCATGCGGCCCTCTACCAGCACCTGTGATGCCTCCATCTTCCTGGGGCCGAGGTTCTGCATGGACTATGAGGACGTGGGCGGCCGAGCACACATGGACGTGGTGTGGATTGAGGAGACCGGGGAGTACTTCATCATCAGCCTGACTCTCTACCTCAGCATCACCAAAGTCAACGACTGGTTTGGAACTCAGTACTAAGTGTTGGCCATGGAGGACAAATGCGCGTGCCTGTTTGCCACCTCTTTCTTTGGCCTAGCTGGTTTATTTGGATGTTGAAAGTTAAAATAAAGCATATTTGTAGTTATTGATGTCTTCTTATTTCACACTTGAAATGATGGTTTTGGGGCCATTATTAAATTGAGTTTGTAGGACTTAAATTTTAAAAAGTTCATTCCAATGGGAAAACTGTATAAAATAATTAGGAAGGAGTTGTGTTGCCAGTTCAAAGGTGGACAGTTTAAACTCATCAAGCACCACAGAAGAAAGGTGGGTAGGCTCCTCCTGTAAGATTTACAGCCTCTGGAAACTTCGTGGAGACTGAGCTGGATCAGACCCTGGGACAATAAGTGAGCTTCCCCCTGTATTTAAAAGCAATGTGATGATGTGTGCATGTGTGCCTCTGTGTGTGCGTGTGTGTGTGTGGCGCACACACCTGTTTTACAGAGGGAAGAGTTTTTAATTGGTGAGAACCCCAAAGGAGAAGCTGTTTGGATATAATCTGTGGTGTCCATTAGTGATAGCAAGGAGTGGGAAGAGCCTGGGTGCCGTAGTAGGTCACGGCTGACTGACAGATTGGCAGTTCAGATCCACAAGCCAATCCATGGGGTAGATGACAGTCTGCTCCCATGAAGATTTAGGGCCCTGAGGCCTGTGGGGGGGTGGTCAGCGTGAGTTGAAGCGGACTCGGCCGCACTGGCTTTGTAGTCCCCTGGAGCCCTGGTGGCATAGTGGCTAGAGAATCGGAAGGCCCGGGTTCGATCCCACCTGCCTCTGGAGAGAGGGGAGGGACTCTGCTTCTGTAGAGACTCAGAGCCGTGGGAGCCTGGCGGGCAGTCCTGCGCCGTCCCGTGGGGCTGTGATCAGTGAGAACTAACGTGAAGACTGGGTTTATATATTCACAGCGCCCAGCAGCCACTTTTAATACAGGCCAGTGTTTAATTACAAAGTGAAGAGGCAAAGGGCCGCCTAATTCACAGGAAGGTGCGCCTAGAGAGCATCCGAGTGGCCTTTACAGAGCAGGGTGTGTACCTGTGCGGTGAGGAGGCTGGTGTGGGCGTGGGGAGGGCGTGAGTGACGAGCTTCTCTGTAAACAGCCCGAGTTCGGCGTGTGTGGAGCTCAGGTGAGGCGGCATCGCTGAGCAGGTGCCGTTCACTAGTGTGTGTTTCTCTGTGGACATCTGGGGTGTGCTGATGATTTCTACCTCCTGGTCACAACGACCCTTGGCAGTGGCCTGGTTCTGTGTGGTTCCTCCTGCCGAGGCCTGTGGGATGAATCCCCCTCGTCTCTGGCTTGCTTTCTGCTTCCACTGAATCACCTGCATCAGGCTTCTCTTCTGGGAGCGCGTGTGGGGAACTGGGCCCTTGAAGACGGCAGTGAGGTCACGTAGTGGTGAGAGCCCCACAGGCTCCCTCCACCTCAGTCCCAGTGGAGCAGCCCTGTTTCTGTGGGACGTTAACTACAGCCACTTAGCAGGGGCCAATGAAGCAGCCGGTTCTTATTAAAAATCCACAGCCTTGGAGACGCAGCGACAGTCACCAGGAGTCAGAACTCGATGGCTGTGGCTTTCGCTGGTTCTTGGGTCCTTGAGAGTCTGCAGACCTCAAAGAGTTCATGTTGGTCTTCTCTCTCCCCACACCTGTGACCACTTTCCCCAGCTCACCACGTGATCTTGATAAGCCTCACGTGCTGATCACCGCATGGACAAAACTCCTGGGCCCCATGGCCACCTCTCGGGGAGGGGAGTGGGGCTCCTGGCCGCGGTGGTGTTCCGACACCTGGCGGTGTGCTGTGCCACGTGGAAAGCCCTGCCCTACTTGCCTGTCCGTACGGGGGCCTGCTCGGCATACGTGTTCCAGGGCGTGTGCCCTCCTCACCGCCCTGGGCCTCTGCTCTGCGTGCGTGCTCCCCACCGAGCTCTGTCTCAGCACAGCCAGTGACGTGACATTTACCCAAGAGACTGAAGAAGCAGGCGGTGTCCCCATGGGTGAGAGCAAGGATTTACTGGGGTTCTTACACAGGTTTGTTCAGGTCTCTGCACACAACCCCCACCTCCAGGAGGGCAGGGGGTTTGTGGGTTTGGTGAGTAAAGATGGCTTCATGCCCGACCTTGAGCGTCCAGGACTGTCACAGTACAGGCTCCAAACGACTGACTGACAAGTGGAAGTGGCCTGTCAGCAAGGAAGAATGACTGTCTTTGGCCTCCAAGGTTTGTTTCTTGCCTCACTGCTACGTTTTGGTGGCAGGCCACTTCATGTGTGTGTCCTTTTCTCCTCCCACTTGGGGCTACGGCATCCACCCTGGACCACTGAGCTGCCTCCCTCTGCCCCTTAATGGCTTTGGGAATCAGTAGTTGGGAAAAGTGAGACATTTCTCAAGGATTTCTGCTACTAGCATGCTGTTGGTTCTGTGTGTCACAAACGTTCACAGATGAGGAGCAGTTAGCGTTTTGGGGGACTGGCCATCTCAGTCCTGAATGCGTGGAAGCTCATTCATCAGGCTTGTGAAACGAAAGTGCTTTCCAGTCGCGCACCCCACTGCAGGAGAAGGGGCTGGGCTGTCCTAAGTCGTGAGGAGTACGGGAGGCAGGCTCAGCTGGTGGACAGCTCAAGGAAAGTTCCAGGTGCAGACCCTAGTGCTGGGGCAGGAACCAAGGAAAGTTCCAGGTGCAGACCCTAGTGCTGGGCAGGAAGCAGGTGTGACTCACGAACACAGGAAGTAACAGAGAAGCAGAGAGAGATACTTGTATCCACGTGCGTGCCCGAGGGAAGCCCTGACCTGATGGGAGTCAGGTATGAGACCTGGCCAGTCTTTGGCCATTGTGTGTGACTTAGAAGTCACCTTTTATTTCTTTAGCATGTACTTGCAAGGGTAAAGATGGGCGCTCTCAGGAAACGGACATTGTGGCATCAAGGGGACCTCCTCCAGGGACTGAACAAAGGCCAGAACTTGACCTCATCAACTCTTCCTTCCAAGGAGCCAGAATTCCATTGGAGTAGTTTTCAGTGCAGATTAGTCACAGGCATTGTAAGAACTGAGCAATTAGCTGGAAATTAGTGGACTTGAACAGTGAAGGTGGTCAGAGTACAGGTGGAGATACTGAGCAACAGTGGTCATTCAGGGACAGTGGTTCTCATGGAACAGGGGGCTTCCATGTGGCTCAAATCAGGCACAGTGCTCGGCACTGGGTCCTCTGACCACACTTAGTCCGTATGTTGAGCAAATCATCTGAGCAGCTGGACTGTATGGAGAAGAACATGGCATCAGGATTGGAAGAGGACTCATGAGTCACTTTTAATATGCAGACGACACAACTTGTTTTACAGTGAAGACGACGTGGAACCCCTAATGATTACCGCAGGCTTCAGTGCAGATTACACACCAACATAAAACAATCTTCAAGCTGGACCAATAAACAAAACATAAACAGAAAAGATGGAGGTTGTCAAGGATTTCATGCCACTTGGAACCACAATCAAGGTCCGTGGAAGAACCAAACCAAAAGAAGACAACAAAACCTTGTCCCGGCGAGCCAGTCCCTAGTGGGTCTACAGGACAGAGGAGACCCGCTTCCGAAGGTTTCGGAGGTTGTAAGTCTTCATTGCAGCACACTGCTCCATCCGTCACCCGGGGGCCCACTGGGGGTGTGAACCTCCAGCCTTATACATAACCCACCAGGGCGCCTTGCTCAAGAAATCTAATGATCTATCACATCGGGCAAATCTACTGTGAAAGACTTTAAAGTTGTTAGAAAGGAAAGATGTCATTTTGAGGACTACGGTGCACCTAACTCAAGCCATGGTGCTTACAAATTTCTATGTGACTGTGAAAGCTGGACCAAGAAGAGTGAAGAATTAATGCTGTGGTGTTGAATTGTGGTGTTGGCTAAGATTAGTGACTGACCAGGCATTGACAGCGAACCAGGCTGTCCTGAAGGAAGTGGAGCAGAATGATGTCCAGAAGGGCCACGGGAGACTTCGTGCCAAGAGCTTGACCTTGAACACACGACCTGGAGGAAGCGGTCCTTTGAGAGAGGTGCTGTGTTTGGTAGGGTCAGGGTTAGGCCTTTATGGAGATGGGCCAACACAGTGGCTGCAGCGAGGGCCTCGGGCGCAGCAGCACGTGTGGGGTTGGCCTGAGGCTGGGCCGAGTCTTGTTCTCTTGTGCGTGGGGTCAGAACTGACCCTATGACACCTAACAACAAAGGACACTGATGAAGGAGACCTGGGGTGCAGCGGCGAGGAGCTCTTCCTCTTAGAACCAATATTCTGCCTTTTCAAACTCGCCACTTGGCTGGGGAAACATGGCAGTGAACTTCCCTGCAAAGTGCGGCCATCCAGCCCCTGAGGGGAAGTCCTGCTCTGTCCAGTGGGGTCTGATCCTGGACCAGCTCTGTGGCAGGCGTGAGACCAGTGATGACTACACGCAGATAAGCACATTAAATCAGGAAGAATAGTTGACAAAAATGTTCACTGCTTAACAAAATAATTCGATATAGACCAAAAATATTATTTGACATTTACATGGAAATTTGTGCAACTTCTATGGAAATAAATTGGTCTCAACGCAAACAAAAAAATGCAAATGTTTTACTTCATGGTATCTAAAATTGATCAAGGAATGACATTGGTTTAATGGCATTTAATATTGCTGAAATTGTGAGAAAAAATGTTTCCATCCAGAAATAGAGTCTGAAGATTCTCAGGGTCAAAATCGGGGAGTAAAGGCGTTTTGAACATTTGGTATTTATTTAAAATGTCAAGTCCTTTTTAATGGCAGTGTGTTTTCAACTCTGCAACCATTACATATCTTTATTGCAGGGACTAGAAGGAACAAAGGAGAAGCAAATGCACTCTGATTTGTTGAAGTCATGGGATTAGAAGTGCATTGTATTCGCAATTGTATTAATGTTGCTGTAATGCAATAAAATATCTTAAAATCTGGAATTTAGTTCAAGGTTACACTGATTCCTCTGTTAAAT